GACATGAAAAACCAAAAAATGAATTCAGCAGAACAGTTACACCTACAATAGCATCAAAAAGATTAAAATACTTAGCAGGTAATTTAACAAAGACTTGCATACTAAAAATAAAAATATCATTGAAAGAAATTAAAGATATACATAAATAGACATCCCCCATTCATGGATTGGAAAACAACATACATTGTAAAATTTTTATGTGTTTATTTTAGAAATGGGGGAGAAGATTAAAGAAAGACAGTGAGACACACACAGAGATAGAGATCGACAGAGATATCTCCCATCTGTTGGTTCCCTCTTCCATTCCCCAAACAGCTGGCAATAGGCCAGGTTAAAGTCAAAAACTGGGAACTCCATCCATCCACCATGTGGATGACAGGGACCCAAGTATCTGGACCACTACCTTCCAGCATGTGCATTGCAAGAAGATGGAATCAGAAGCAGAACAGGTTTACTTGACCAAGGTACTTCAAGGAATGTTGGAGTCTCAAGAGGGATCTTAACTGCTGTACCAAATACCACAGAAGACTTAAAATGTCAATTTCCATCTCATTGTTCCTTAAGATCAAGAATAAGATACAATGCCTGGTTATGGGGTGGTGTCATGGCACAGCAGGAAAAGCTACTATCTGCAATGCTAGTACCCTATATGGGCATTGGTTTGTGTCCCAACTGCTCCACTTCCTATTCAGCTCTCTGCTGATGGTCTGGGAAAAGCAGCAGAAGATGATCCAAATACTTGGGTCCATGACACCCACACTGGAGATGCAGATGAAGCTCTTGGCTCCTGCCTTTAACCAGGCCTGGCTTAGTCCTGGCTGTGATGGCCACCTAGGTGTGAACCATCATATTAAAGCTCTTTGTCTGTGTGTGTGTGTATTTCTCCCTTTCTGTTTGTAACAACACTTTCCAAAACAAAATCCATAAAAAAAAAGTCTGCTCCTTCTAATTCTGTTATTCTCCAATGCATTGAAAGTTCTATCTAGAGCAAGTAAGAAAAGAGAATGAAAATGCATCCAATTGTTATTAGACTGCTTTAGGCAATGGCCTCTTACAACAAGCACAAGCATCCAAAATCCAAAAATAAATAAATAAATAAATAAATAAATAAAATTAATTCACCATAACTAAAAACTTTGTTTCAAAAGATTCATTGAGAAAGTGAAAAGACAGCTCACAAAATAACACGTGCCATATAATTAATTAGCCCAATATCCTCAATATATAAAGTATTTTAAAAATGCACAAAGGATCTAAACAGCTGTTTCTTCCAAGAAGACATACAAAAGACCAATAAACACATGAGAAGATGTCCAATGTCATTAGTCATTAGGGTATCCGGCACTGGGGCCAACCTTCCAGGGCACTGACACCAAAACCAAACTGTGTCCACTATGAGGCAGTCTCCCCACTCCAATCAGAATACAACTACACCAAAACAAACAAACAAACAAACAAAAAAAAACCTTTCCAATTTACATTAGGTTTCTCCTGGTATTGCACTCCACGACCCCCATGCCAAATGGATATTTTGTATGTCCCACTCAGGTTTGATTTTCCACGCTGGGCCACTCTCCAATATGGAAATTCTCCTTTGAGAAAAGGCTTCAATATCATAGGCTGAGCCAGAACATCCCTCTCTCATTTTGAAGGCTTCTGATAATGTTGACAACATGCCCCCTAGAAAGTTCATGTCTCTCATTAAAAACCAACCAGAATTATTTATTTATTTGAAAGGCAGAGTTACAGAGAGAGATAGACAGAGAGAGAGATCTTCCATCTATTGGTTCACTCTTCAAATGCTATAACTGCCAGAGTTGGGGTGGTTCGAAGCCAGGAGCCAGGAGCCAGGAGCCAGGAGCTTCTTCTGAGTCTCCCACATGGATGGAAGAGCTCAAGCTCTTGGGCCCTCTTCTGTTGCTCTCCTAGGCACATTAGCAGGAAGTTGGATTGAAAGTGGAACAGCCAGGACTTGTAGTGCCCAGGTGGCTATACCACAGTGGCAGCCTCAGTTTGTATCTCTCACGTACCAAAGGACAAGGGAGATCAATCTGGGGATAAGACTGCAGGATTTGAAATTAGCTAAACTGAATTTGGGGTACGTTTATAACCTGTAGGTGATTTTGGTCAAATAATTTAACCTCTTCTAGTTCCAGAACTAGGATTCTTAAAAACACAAGTAATAACTATATGAAAGCTGTTTTCATTTTTTAATTAGACAGCATTTGGTGACTGGTAGAGCTAGCAAATTGCATTCTTTCTTAACATGTTAACATGCAAAGCTTCATTTTCAGAGTTATTTAGCTGTTGATCACTGGTTTGCTTATTATGATAATTTGTATTTTCCATAGAGTCATTAAATATTTGTCTTTAGAAATTTTATTTATTGAAAGGCAAAATGACAGAGAAAGAGGAAGGCACAGAGACAGAAAAATCTGCTTTTTAATTTACTCTCCAAATGCCCAACATTTCAATGGGTAGGACAGTCAAAGTCAGAAGCTAGAAACTCCATCTGGGGCTCCTACATGAGGTAGCCAGTATCTGCTACCTCTCAGGTGCATTAGCAAGAAGTCAGTTTGCAGGAGAAGGAGGAACTCATTCCCAGGTACTTCAATACCTGATTCAGGTATTCCAAGTAGATTTCACCTGCTGTGCCAGAATGCCTTTGCTCAGTTGTTAAACATACTGACCACTGCCATTTCTTCCAACACACTTCACAAGTGTTGTCAAATATACTGAACATTTTAATGACACCCTGCTTCTGCTTCTATCACAGGGTATATCTAGTGTGTCTTTTCCTCCTTTTTTCAACTAAAAGTTTTCAACTAATTCTTTCAGATTTTGTTTAAATGCCTTCAAGTCCTGCTAGATTCTTCCCAACCATGCTGTATTGCCAAAGATTATTCATAGTTTATTACTGTATATAGGACTGCTTTTCCAGTTAGAAAATCTAGGAATACATATGCTCTATGCTGTATTAAGGCCACATCAGTGTCTTATCCATGTGTAAATTCTCCAACTCAAGCAGATTATTGGGATCTATCCTAATAATTAATTACTATACACATAATATAGCTGTAATCAAACATCCAAATTTTTGCATATGCAGATCTTTTCAGAATGTCACTGCCTAATATAGTAGCTAGTAGCCACTACAACATGACTAAGGAACACCAAAATAAACCTAATAAATATTTCCATTGGAAAAAAAAAAAACATGTTTCAGAATGTGAAATACCTCATCAGTAAATTTTATATTGATTATATTTATAGGTTGAAGTAATACTTTAGATATACCAGGTTAGATAAAAATGTTAATTTCCTATATTTCTTTTACTTATCTCAATGTAGCTACTAGAACATATTTACATTTGAAAAATTAAAGACATTTATTTATTTGAAAGGCAGATTTATAGAGAGAGAGAAAGAGAAGAAGAGAGAGAGAAATTTTCTACCTGCTGGTTCACTCCCAAAATGGCTGCAAGGGTTAGGTCTGTGCCAGCCTGAAGTCAGGAGCCCAAGGCTTCTCCCAGGTCTCCCACATGGGTGCAGGGGTCTAAACACTTGGGCCATCCTCTGCTGCTTTCCCATGTGCATTAGCAGGGAGCTGGTGTGGAAGTGGAGTAGCTGGGACTTAGTACTCTGATACGGGATGTTGATGTTGTGTGCAACTGTGCTATACCAGCCCCAGAATATTTTAAATTATACACATAGCTCACATTTATTTCTAAATAAAAAAGTGTTGTTTTAGAAAGTTCTGAGTTTACTATGAGAAACCAAGGGGTCAACTGTTTGAAGACTAGACAGCTGGTATCCTTAGAGCAAGAATAAGAACTACAAATCTTTGAACAGTTCTAACACACCTTACCAGGTAGTAGGACTGGATCATTTAAGTAGGTGCTATAAAGACATGAAAAACTGTATGCATCTAAGAATAAGAATGCATTGCCCTAGTGAACTGATTAAGTCTTTTAAGGATGTTTCCCTATGATTTTTTAAAAAATAATTTTAAGGTTTATCTATTCATATATTTGAAATCCAAAGCAACAAAGAGAGAGGGAAGGTAGAATAGAGTAAGACTTTCCATCCACTGGTTCTCTGCCTAAATGCTCACAATAGCTTGAGCTTGGCCAGGCTCAAGCTAGAAGCCTAGAATTCCTTCTGGGGGTTTCTCACATGAATGGCAGGAGCTCAAGCCCTTGGATCATCTGCTGCTGCTTTCCCAAGACCATTATCAGGGCGCTGATCAGAAGTGGAGCAGTCAAGATAAAAATCAGCATTCCAATATGGAATATTGGCATTCAAAGCAGCAGTACCACAGTGCTAAGCTGCTGTACCACAATGCTAGTCCCATGTGAGTCTATTTTCTAACGCTGCTCTAGAAGCACACATGCTGGCAAAGAGGCAGTCCAGAGGCTCCACTGCTTTGACTTGTTCCCTTTTGGACAACTTGTCTGCTCCATCCTTAACTTCACTCGGTTAACTTGAATCCTTTGATTGGAAAACAACCCTAGAGAATTTAAATCCTAATTAAAAAAAAATGAAAACCATAAACTTCATGGGTGATGATTTTAAAAATGTTATTTATTATCTGAAAAGTAAGGAGATGAAAGGGAGAGCGAGAGATAGAAGACAAGCTTTCATACATTGGTTTATTCCCCCAATTGCCCAAGGCAACAAGGGCCAGCCTTGCTGGGAAGCAGAGAGCTGGGAACTCACATCCATGTCTCCTATTGGTGACAGGGACCCAACTATTTAAGCTACTATTGCTGCAAAACAGGGTGTTCACTAGCAGGAACCTGGAATCAGGAGCCTGGAGTGGTTGTTGAATCCTGGCACTCTGATATGGGATTTGAATTATCTAGATGGTTAGGCCACTTGCCCCTATGACTCTCATCTATCAACCACCCTTTAGTTAAGCTTTTTTCTCAAATTTGAAGTATGTCTGGAGTCTCTGGATTAACAGAACGAAGCATTTAATCAATTTAATCATTACTAACCTGCATTTCGTATTTCAGAGTCATGTGGAAGCACCAGGATCCCATTCCTACCACTGAAATTAAAACAAATTTTAAAATTAGCATACAATTCTTTGGGATTACCAGATGACTTGAGAAGACAATAATACATTTCAAAGCATTTGATTTTAAAGGAAATAAAGTTTATAAAATCTTGTGGCAAGATACAGCTGACTAAGCTCTATAATTGATAAAACAAACATAAGATAAATATTTCTCTCAACTTTTCTGCACTAAGTGATTTATTATTACAAGAATACTCTACTACTTCTAGAACATATTATCTAACAGTCAGGTAAATTTAATGCTTATACTGATTAGCTACTCATTGTCGAACCCCTGCTCTTCGGAAGCACAGCATTATAGCAGTTGTGCTATACGCTTACGAAGAGACTATCAGTTCTGCTTGCTCCCAGTCATGTTGCTGCCACTGAATTTAGTTACCAGGAATATGACTACAGAAAGAGAGCTGCTATTTCTATAAAAATCATTTAAGATGCTACAACAGGTTTCATAAAAGTTGCTAATAACAACTGCTGTTAAATTAGGTTTGAGTGATGCATCTCTAAAGCTTAAGAAAAGCAGTCATTTGTGATATAGACATCCCACACTAGAGTGCCAGTTCAAGCCCCAGCTTCCTGTTAATGTGCCACAGAAGTCAGTGGAAGATGGCTTAAGTGCTTGAATACCAAATGCCCATATGTTAGACCCAAATAGACTTTCTGGCTTCTGCCTTTGGTTAGGTCCTGATCTGGCAGTTGTGACTGTTTGGAGACTAAACCAGTGGTTGTAAGAACAATCTCTCTCTCATCTATCTCAATCTCTCCAAACCAGCGGAAGTAAGAGCAATTTCTTCTCTCTCTCTTTCTGTGTGTGTGTGTTCCCTCTCTGTTACTTGGCCTTGCAAATAAGGAGCTACATCTAAAAAGAAAGTCTGATTAGGATTTGGATTTTACCCTAAGGGCAAAATAAAACTGTTACAAAACTGCATACACATATATACATAAGGAATTGGCATGATATGTTTTACATTTTAAAATATATCACTGAGGAAAAAGAGAGAATGCGGAAACAATGGTCTTACCCACTTTCCTGTAGCCCTTGACTTTTTGTGCCAAAATCAACTATGCAAAGATTATCAGAATAAAATAATAATGTAAAAAAGGTTAAAAAATATATCACTCTGATTGCAAGGCAAATGATATCTAAAGGAGCACTTCCTAACTATGAGAGTAAGAAGATTGTTATGGAACCTCATATGCTCCATTTATTTATGAAGTATATATGATGTAGTGCTAACATTTTAAAACACACACAATTGAGTTTTAGAAAAATGTAAACAAGAAACATGCACAAACAGTAGAGGTTTCTTTTTGCATCTCAACAGATCAGTTTTCTGATGCCCAGATATGGGAACATCATACTTGGTTATTTAAATGACAAAGAATAAACCCTTTACAAAGGCTACATGTGGCTTCACAATCTGACTTCACTTCTTCACATTATAACACTTGCCTCTGCTCTGATCTAACTCTTAACTCCTGTCTGCTTTGCTTCATTCACCCTGAGCTTACCCTGTCCTGTCTGCCTAGAATGCTTGTTTATTCTCTCCATCATATCATCTTTCCCACAGCTTATTCTCTGCTTATTGAAATCTTTTGCAATCTCTAGATTAATTTAATGTTTTTAAGTTCTTTATCCCTCTAAAAATGTTTCTTTTGGTATAGACATACTATGAGTATGATATATCATGCCTTTTAAATTTTCACTTCAATTTATTCCCCTGAATCTCCTACACTAAATATTCCTTTGCTCCCTTTACAATTAAGTTCACCATACAAGGCATTGGAGAAATAATGGGTACTCTTTTTCCAAGACACACACACACACACCCCTTCAAGGCAGCCATAATTATTCCCATAATGTGCTAGAAGGCAGTTTTTAAAAAATGTAAGAAGTTAACCAAGACCACATGACTAGTAGGTGGCCTGGCTCAGAAACAAAACCTGTCTGACCCCTAAAGTCTTTCTATATACCTGCCCCTGGAAGCAATCAACAGAAGTATCAGAATTTTGATATAGTTGTAGGTAGGCAGATATACAAAACCAAAACTTTTTACTAAGGAAAATAATCTATATTTCAAGCCATTATGAAGTCAGAAGGAAGTTCAGCTAAGAAAAACACAGTGGTCTCAATTAGTGATGACACTAAAAATGAGAAGCAGCAGATTCTAGAGATTACAAAGACAGAACCTAAGCACTTGGAGAATAAGTAAATATGGGAATCCAGTGAGGAGGAGGAAGAGGATTTGTCAAGAAGAAAGATGTGATTTTTGCAACTAGGATCTAAGAAACCTGTGGTGCAGGAAATGGTATGCAAACAGAACTGGGTGAAATAAATGTGGATGCCTAAAATCAGTTTCTTAAAGTGAACCAGGTGGAATGCAAACACATTTCCATGCTTTACAAGTCATCAAAGGAGAGCTAGGGAGCCTTTTGAGGGCTTCCTTTGTAATTAGTGATTAGCTCTAGTGCCTGTAGACACTAAAATGTTGAAAAGAAAATGCCAACAGCCAAAGCATTTAGTTTAAAATAATTCTCTGGTTCTGAGAGAACCCTGTGATTCCCATCTCTATTCTCAGTCTTGTATCCAATGCCACCACCCAGCACAGGTCAAGACTTCACTTGATTATAGCCCTTCTTTCCCGAGTCACCAATTTCGACCTCTTGAATGCATCATCTACATATTCTCTCATATCTCCAAAGTCCACCCCCCAATCCCTTTATTCATCAGTGCCTCTTCAGTTTCCTGAAGTCTCAAAAGAGGGGCCTCAAATTTGTCATTTGTCCTTGCTTCAAAACTATTCATATCACTGAATCAGCCCCGTCTTCCATTTACTCAATTTCAGCGTCTAATAGCTGAAACACTTGTCTGTTTAGCCTTTTGTAACACTCAATTCCCTTTTATAGGTTCTGTTCTTGATGTCTAAATTCAAAAGCACAGAGAGGCATTTGAATAAAACAGGCTAAATGAGGAGAGACAGAGAGAGCTACCATCTGTTGGTTTACTAACAGATATTTTCTTAAGAAAATTTAAAGTATACTTTCAAAATCATAATTACCACCGAGAGGCCAAATATTAGGATTCTTCATTCATCAGAAGCATTCTATAAAACAATAGTAAAATACTAATATTTGCTCATTCTGGCAGGATGACATGAGAATCTTACTAACTTCCTCGTACTTTTTACACTTCTAATTATTTCATCACTCATAATTTTTACATTTAAGAATTGGTATTATATAATTCTTAGTTCTATATTGCTATGTAATACTTAGTTCAGTGATTCTTGGCAACCTAAAACTAGTTTTGAAGAACTTCGACTCACAAACAGTCCTCTGGTGACTCCAGATGCATGTCATGTCAACTGACAGATGCAGAACAACTCTTCCAAAATGACTTACAAATAAATGTATTTCCTTTACCTAAAAAATTAATTTTGGAGGGCTGGCATTGTGGCATAAATTAAGTTGCCACCTGCAATGCTAGCATCTCATACAGGTACTAGTTTAAGATTCTCCACTTCCAATCCAGCTCCCTGCTAATGTACGTGGGAAAAGCAGCAGATAATGATCCAAGTCCCTGGGCTACTGCCACCCCCATGAGAAACTCAAATGAAGGTCACGGCTTGTGGCTTCGGCCTGGCCAACCCCTGGCCACTGAGGGGGTGACAAAAAAACATCTTCCTTTCTCTAACACTGTCTTTAAATTAAATAAAATAAACTTTTTGAAAAAAAAAACAAGCTGAATGAAAGTTTTTTTTTAAAAAAGGAGGTATTGAAGTACAGATGGAGTATTGGGTTTGTGATCAATTGGATAGATAATACTACAAAAAAAGTGCAGGCTGGTTGTTACTATGAAGAAATACAAGAGTACTTCAAAAAGTTTCTAAAAACATACAATTAAAAGATAATTTTGCACCAAAAAATCCATGTATACTTTTTAAAATCTTTTTTTACTTTTTAATATATTTTTTATTTTTTTATCATTATCATTTTATGATACAGTTCCATAGGCTCCTGGCATTTCCCTTATCCCAGTCCGAATCCCTACCCCCACCACCTAGTTCCTCTATATCATTACTAAAGTATAGTTCTTCATACACAGTCATATGTCCGTCATTGCAGACATGGACAATGGCAGAGAGTCCAGCATCCAATTGTCAAGATATAGTAAACAGTTTCATTCTAAGCCCATCTTTTTCTGGAAGTAGAAATGCATATTGCATTGTATCCTCACATCTAGATATGTTAGTCTCCATTTCACAGCTACTATACATCCCCTCAAATGAAAAGTCATAATACAAAATCAAAAAAAGAAAAGTAAAAATTTACAATGCCATGAAGTTAAATAACATGTTACTAGATATGACAGTCTCCATTACACAGCTACTATACACACCTTAAATGAAAAGCCACAAAACAAAATCGATAAAGGAAAAAAAATTAACAACCCCATGAAGTAACATGCTACTGAATGACTAATGTGTCGCTGAAGAAATGAAAATCAAGAACCTTCTTGAGAAAATGATGCTACGGTATGATCTATGAGTCACTGAAGAATTTAACCAGAAGAAAGTGTTTTGAAGAAGTGAAACTAACAAGACAATCAAAATCCATGAGATACAGTTTCTGCTGATCTTTGTTGGTGAAATGTGTCTCTTCTAGACAACAAATAGATGGATTTTGTTTTTTAATCCAGTCTACTAATCTATGATGTTTGATTGATGAGTTTAAGACACTGACATTCAGAGCTAATATGAGTGGTGGTAATTTGGTCCCATCATTTTAGCAATGGGTTGTTCACTGATGTAGCCTTCTGCTGTTATTTTTCTAGGATGTTCTTCACATTTGCCTTTGGTTTTGGTGGGTGCTATTCCTCTTCTCTGTCAAGAGAATATCTTGAAGTATCATTTGTAGGGCAGGTTTGAAAGAGGCAAATTCTTTTAATTTTTCCTTACGTGGAAGCATTTTAT